CTAAAGAAAAGTATTTAATTCTAGTAAAGTATCTTTTATAATACTTTATAAATAATTCCAATATTGATATAATCTACTCTAATAGATCAAAAGAATAACTTTATAAATATAATACATTTACAAACTCAATATAAGGTTTAAAAAATGATAAAAAGTCAGTTCAGAGAATAATTATTATAAGATATAGAGAAACTATAGTTTGGTCTTTTACAAAACAAAAGTCTATATTGTTGTATACAATAAAGGCAAAAATTTATTACAATTAATAAAAATACAAAAGAACTTGTATGAATAGAGAAACTTGTTACTAATCTAAAGGAACAACCAGAAGTTGAGTTATTCATTTTTATTTTTTATTGTGATAATAAGAATAAGATAGATTAGATAAACAAAAACAAGTTTTATAATAAAGTAAAGTATATTCAAATCAAATAATATTATATTTGTAAAGATATAATTAATACAAAGCGAATATATATAATATAAATCCCAGGAATGAATTAAACAATAGATATATTTACAAAACAATTTATTTACCTGGTATTTTGTATTTATAGTTTAGGGTTAGATTTAGATTTTGAAAAGAAATAAGAATACTCTTGTATTACAATATAATAAATTCAATCATAAGATAGTCGAATTTCATAAGAGATTAGATATCATGATAATAGCAGGGCTATGGATCATTACAGGAATTAATGAGGCTCTGACAATTAGATTGAAAAGTTTTGATCAATTTGGTCAATTAATTTGGTCAATTTGGTCAATTTGGTCAATTACATATGAAAAGATTACTTTGTAGTATATACTTCAGGATAATCAAGGTTTTGATCATAGGGGGGATATTAGAAAGTCATGAATACTATAGGTATCACAGCACCACAGCACTGCCCCTCTTCTGTATTCACTATTAGTGTACATCTTGTTTACTTATACGCTCAATAACATAGCTTAGATTCTGCACCTGAATATAATCTACATACACTTCTGATAACTTTATTCGAGGAATAATATTTGTTTGTTTATTCACGAGGTAATATTAAAAAACCATTTTCACTCCCACTCTCAGTCCCACTCCCACTTCACATCTATATAAACAACACAATACACAAACTTGACCATCCAACCACCTAATTATCCAGACAAATTTACAAAGCCGAAGGAAAAGTACACACTGATGCAAATAACAGGAAATCAATCAATCTTGGATGCTTGTTTCACCATAAATTAACTACGATCTAGAGGTATGAATTTATAAGATCAAGGATAGCTAGTTAAAGTATCAGAGATGACAGTACTCGTACTGATCAACACAGGACTTTCGACATCGAATCAGTCCAGTAATGACAAAAGAAGTATATTCAGATGACAATGAAAACCTCATTAAAAACATAACAATGTACAAAACCCCCAATCTAACTTCAAAAATCGTAAATCAAACTAATGATACAACACTTACTCATACACGACTGCACGCTCACCCCATATCATCTTCCCATCTGCGCATATTCTGCCTTTTGTTGGACTGGAAGCTGATTCAGTGAAGATAGGCTGGATTATCTCACCCTTAAATAAAAATATCGATTTTCTCAAACTCCTTCCACATCACACATTACATTACTCGTATTGTTAGAAAGACATGTATACGCATATACCTCGGGTATATAGGGCTACCTCGCTTACACTTACCACTAGCGTATTCTCTGTTTCCATATACGCACAGTAGTATAGCTTAGATCATCCCTCTTATTGTACTTCTCACAATTATATTACCCACCCAGTAAATTAGCGAATTACAATTTTACCCCTTTCATTTCCTTTCCTTTCCTTTCCTTTCCTTAAGAATTTGAAGTTAGGCGTGAATGACTCAAGCTAGTTAGAGATCCAGTACTCGAGTAGTAATCTAGCGGATTCAATATAAGATTACAATTCGCATGGATTTCCCCTCCTTCTCCTCACTGATAACTTAAGGTTTCAGTATTCTTCAATAACCACGAACCACGAATTACGAATTACGAATTACACACCAACACATCACATCCTTACTTCATCATCTACCATCTACCTCCTACCTCCTACCTCCTACCTCCTACCTCTCAACTCCTCCATACACACCAGCATACACACCAGCATACACATCAGCAGCAGTATATTCTGCTAATATATATATAAACGTGTATATAGGTAGTATTATTCGAGTAGAAGGAATCACAGAACACATTAAGCAATGATATGAATATATAACTCTTCGCTACTCTTCGCTACTCTCTGCCGTAAATTGTATAATGATTCGCTAAATCATATTATGTACTGAGTATACTCGAGTACTCGAGTATGGATACTATCCATCCATCGCTCCATCTCTGTCTATTCTTTTGATAAAAATGTAAGATAGATTACTCGAACAATGAAATTAATATTTTGTGCTTCCCACCATACATATTGCCTAATAACATTTTGTTCCTTTTTAGTACAGTACCTCAGTACCTGTAGTTAACAAATAAGAAAAATATTCGTGATTTCGTCAATACCACTCACTACCTCACCCTCCCATCCCCTCCTTTTCCTAAGCTTACCCACCCACCCCACTTAATCCTAATTCTCATCATCAATCCTCATCATCATCCAACGCCCTCCTCGGATCCAACGTATGCACATCCGCACTCTTCGCCTCCCCCTCAAACAAAAACTCACTCATCAATTTTCCCGTCGCACAACTATTTTGTACACCCCAACACGTATGACCCGCAGCTAAGAAAAGACCTCTAATACCCGTGTGACCAATAAGTGGACCTCTGCCATTACGTGCTAGGGGCAGATAACATGCTTGTTTAGTTATGACTTTGCCGTTGCGCATGGGGTCTGATATGGATCCTATGTAGTCTAGTATATCGTTGCAGCTCGATTCGTCGCATACAACTAGGTTTGAGGATCGGGGGAGAGGTACTCGCTCGTCGCCTTCGCCTTTACGTTTATTTGTTAGCATGGATACTTTAAGAGGAGAGGAATACAAACCGCAAGCATAGACTGTCCCATCGGGTCTAGCATACATCTCCGGATTAACCATCTTATCATGTTTTCTCTTCTTCGCTCCATTTTCTCCCTTCCTTCCAAATCCCTTTGGTAAATCAATTTCCGTAAAGACTGCCCATGGAGAAACTGCCGCTTCCACCACTACACTATGTGCTCTTTGAGACGTAATGGGTGCTTCGGGCCATACGTGACTTGTCCATGGTCCCGCAGATAATATAACATCATGCGCATGTAACGTGTGAATATGTCTCGTCTCTTTATCTTCATACGTAACACCCTTTACACTATTCCCCGTATAATCAATCGCAGTGACCGTACCATAAACAATTTCTACTCCTTTTTCCACGGCCAAATCTGCCATTGAGGTCGTGAATTGATATGGATGTACTTGTGCCGTCGTATCTGGTGTTCCCATTTCCCAATACCATTTTATGTTATCCGTCTCGAACCAATCCAAATCCTTAGGAATATCTTCGCCCGCATATTTCTTCTGTTTCTTCATATCCGTTTTCGGCAACTTTTTCCAAGCCTCTCCTCCATTTTCCGTGGAGTCTTTAGGATCAGCTTCGGATATCAATCGAGCTGTGGCTCCTATGGAACCACAATGTAATGTTCGATATCCCCATCGTTTGGCGCCATCATGTTCCTTGGCAAGTTCGGCATGCAGTTTATAGGAGAGAGGAACGATACATGATGGTCGTGCCCATAGTGCAAGTAGTCCACCTGCTTTCCCGGATGCTGCTGATGCGATGGATTGTGCTTCGACGATGGTGATTTTGGTTGTAGAGGGGTCATATGAGGGGTGGCGAGTGAGATAATAGGCAGATGTACAACCAATGATTCCTCCACCTATTGAGGATGATGGTGGTTATTGATGAGTTGCTTAGGAAATCAATAATACACACATACCTATAATAACTATGTTTCTTTTACTTTCTCTTGGTGAAATTGGTGAAATTGATGAAATTGGTGAAGTTGGTGAAGTTGCCATTTTTGTTATCAAGTGCTTAGATTGTTTCTTAAGCATAACATTAATATTGTTTATGTTATGCTAACGTTGTACTGTACTCTGGGTATTATTATTATTATGCAAAAGACGAGTTATCGGTAACTCGTGAAGTTTCAATCAAGCCTTTCACTTCCTTGAGGTTCAAAAAAGGCTGAAAAGGGCTGAGACTCAAAACTGAGAAAGGCTGTGAACGGCTTCAGATAAGAACAGAGAATCTTATCTTAGTATAAAGCTTACCTAGTACTTGCCGGTAAGTCCCCACATGAAAAGCATGTCTCGGTAAAAGATAGCCCCACTATTAAAACTTACCTCGGGAACAAATCCACTTAAAATTATCAAAAATGATATAATTTAAACCAATCAAAACATCCACATCTTCTAATTCTATAAATATTATACCGGCAACAACATCGATCCGAAATCCCTTACCAAAAACTCTCAGACCCCCTCCAAATCTCCAAATCCCATACATAATTCAAACATTCCAGACCACTTCCACCTCCAAGTTCTTACAAATAACCCTTCAAAATATCATCTCATTGTCAATGATACCCATACAACCAATACCCATACGAGCGACCATACAAATTATTAATAAAAAGCCACTCCCTTTCTTATCAAATCTATTCTCTTCTTCTTTCTCATCATATAATACTTTCCCCAACGTCAACATTTGGAGATCACGAAAAACAGATCTTACCCTTCGAAAACATTCACAAAGTTACGTTCAACAACATATTAGAAATATTACTATGGCATCTGCTGCTTCTATTTATGAGTTCGAACCTTTGAATAGTACGTTTATTTACTTACATTCCATTAAATTACCCCCCTTCCACTCATGAATCTCCTACCCCTCATGTTCGCATCAATCATACTAATCCCACCCACCCTACAGAACAAGGCGAACCAACTCCCCTCGCCGACTACAAAGGCAAAGTGCTCTTAATCGTCAACACAGCCTCGAAATGCGGTTTCACACCCCAATTCGAAGGACTCGAGAAATTATACAAAGATATCAAGGAGAAGCACGGCGAGGACTTTGTGGTCTTAGGGTTTCCATGTAATCAATTCGGTGGACAAGATCCCGGTAGTGATGAGGAAATTCAAAGTTTCTGCCAGATTAACTATGGAGTTTCTTTCCCTATCGTATGTTTTTTCCGCTTAGTTGGCATATCCCCTGGCATACCTCTATTTATTATCTCTCCTGGCTGGCGGTGGGGAGTCATTGATTGATTCATGATTATAAAATAAGCGCTAACCCTCCCTCTCACTTCAGATGAAAAAAGTCGACGTAAACGGCGACAACGCAGCTCCCCTTTTCAAATGGCTCAAAGAAGAAAAACCCGGTCTCCTCGGTCTTCAACGAGTAAAGTGGAATTTCGAAAAATGGTTGGTGGGTAGAGATGGAAAGGTAAAGCAGAGATGGGCGAGCACAACTAAGCCGGATTCTTTGGAGAAACATGTTTTGGAGGCGTTGAATGAGGCTAAGTCTGAACTTTGAGGCTCGTTTTTTTGGTTTTTGGTTTTTGGTTTTTGATATTTGAGTTCGTGATGGATGGAGAGGTTTGGATGTTTTGAAGGATATTTTGATAATTTGCGTAGATGGTAAATAGGGTGGTTAATTCATGAAGAGAGGGAGTGATATGCGAATAATTTAGGTGGAAAGCTACAAACGAGTACTTGAATAAAGTAATACCACAAAATCAGAAAGCTTTCATCCAATTACTCGTAGTTTGGTCAATCAAGTTCTATTTCTATCAATACTTCCAGAATGGAAGACTCAAAGTAGAACCTTCCTCTCATCTCTCTATTCTACTCTACTCTACACTCTACTCGAGTACTTCTACGAGTATATAAACTCCCTCCATTTCTTTCTTTTATATTTTTTTCAATATATCGCAAGTTTATCTAGTCTTGCTCCATACCTTGCAGGTGGGTAGAGGTTTTCTATCTTGGTTGCTGTGGACAGATAGTATTTAAATACATGCCGATATATTACTTTCAATATACGAAACATCTCAAAGACCTAGTAGAAGTGGAGTCTTGCGAGAGGAGGGATATTGAGGAGTGGTAATGGTGAGTGGCGAGTGGTAGCATTCATTTATGTCTTGATTTTTTTTGTATTATATGTGATTATTGTTGTTGTTTTTCTACTCGAGTATGGTTTCTAATTGTTGCTGCTGTTTTGTTGTTGCTATTTGTTGAGGTTGTTGATATTATATTATAGATATTAATTACTATCATTCTTATTTCTCAATATATATTTTTACGTATATATGTTTATATTATTATTATTATTATTATTATTATTATTATATCTCAACTTCCCACAACTTCAAGTTCTCCCTTTTTAACGATATTCTCTGAATCTTCGTCTGGTTTAGATCTTCATCTATGTAGCTCAGCCTTCTATTTCGCAACGAAGATAATATTTGCGATTCTTTGACTTCAAACATATCAGATCTTGCAGAAGAGGAATTTGTTATCTATTCTTTATATAACTAAGTAAGTACTCGAGTAATGTAATTAGATATGAGAATAGTGACAAGTAGAGTTACCTACTTACTTACGTGATGTGATAACAAGACATGAGATCAGATTATGGTAGTCAAATCTTTCTATAAAAGAAAAAGGGGGACTCTTAGGAGATTCTTCTTTTTTCTTTTCCTTTTTTTATAGATGACTAATAATGAAACTTTCTGCTCTTACTGCTATGTACTTACTCTGTGATATAAGAATTTAGAAATGGTGATATTAGAAATGGCTATTTATATATACTCGAGAGAGAACTTTGTGCATCTGAGTACCCAGTAATTATTGGGAAAGAAGTCTCAAATCCTTTGAATTTGTCTTTCCGGTATCTCGGTTAACGTTTTTTTCACTGTCTGTATTTAAAAAAAATGCGTTTACGAGTATTGTTGTCAATATATCAGCTCTAGCTAGCTATAATTCATCGAGTCCGGTATTCCCCATTTCCCTTCATCAGATCAGGTAACTTCCATGTAAGATTATCTTTCGTATATTCTTATTTTCACACTGTGTTGAGCAACACCGTGACCGCCCCATACTCAGTATTTATAGCTATCAACTTTGGTAAATCTCCCTCGTCCGTATATTTCTATTTTGATATAATGCAATGTGTAACAAATTCTTATATACCGGTACATGAATTCCCTCGAAACAAGTTATCTCTGATTTGTTGGGCCCTTATCTTGAAGATAAACAAGAGGTTGATATCGTTTACTTTCTAAATTGAATACTATGATATTTTGGGGTATCCAAAATCTGGCGGAGTACTCGTATATGAATGACTAGTATTATCTGCTGATGGAACTAGTGATATGGAGGTTTAGAAATTGCTTCAAGTTATCTATATAATATTTCTCTTTCTTGTTGGTTTAGAGTAACAAAACCCATCTTCACAATGTCTTTCTCAGAGAATTATAACTCAGCGTCGGATTGAGAAACTTTGAAAGACGAGTGATATTGGTGTTACGATGGTAGGAGTTTGGGTGTTACTTTCAAGAATGACACTGATCGAATTCATGTCAAAATCTTGGTATACCTCTATTGTTGTCATTTTAATTCATTGTTGTCACTGCGAAGTCTTATCTAATTCACAGATTCACTATTAGTATCAAAGTAAATTAGTTACTCCTATCATCTCAATCTCATAAAATCATGATCTCTACTAGGAAATCTCCGATTCTTCGGTAACTCGGAGAAAGTAGTCAGTAGATGGATCTTGGGTGGGAAGACTTCGATCTTCAGGTCATATACCATAGGTGTGACCAGATTATTACCTATGGCCTGATGTAATTATTCTATTCTTAATTCATGCATAGCTCTGTAGTTTGCCCATCTCCCACTCTATTTCCAATCATCTAGTAGTACCAGCGTATGCAAACTCCCCTCCTCTCCTCTCCTAGGCCGAAAGGAAGGTTAAAAAATATTTTCGATTTAGATAAGTTTATTATATTCGAATATTAATAAAATTTATAAATTTATAAACATTTTAGATATAAAGTATTCAAAATTATCAAATCTTCACTCTTTTAAGGAAAAAGAATAAATCGAAAATTTTGAAGAAATAAACAAATTGGATGAAATTAACAAATGTATAGAAGAATATAAGGATTTTTAGGGCTCACGAAATGAAGGGAGAGGAGGAGAAGTGGAGATTGCATACGCTGTCATCTACTTCTACCTTTTTCTTTTTTGCCTGCTATACCAGGACATTTGCATCTATCGTTACAAAATTGACCTAACGACGACGCAAAGGTAGCGGTGCCGAAATTCATGGAGCTTCGGAAATGCCCCTTAGTATTTGCTTCAAGTTGTGGGATATGAAGTTCACATTTCAGTGAATGATGGATTTACAAGGACATGTACCCACATGGAAACGATCTATATGAACTAATAATAGCTCTCAAAGTATCTATCTGACTTTCTAAACGCTTCTTGAGCCTACAGCAATACCTTCGATTTTAAACCCAACGGTGCCCTTTCCATGTATCCTCACCAAGACTAAAGCTACCAAGGTAATAGTGGATGGACATTTCAGTTTCTAGATCTCAGAAAATGTATACTGGCGAACTGTTCTGTCTCGCATTAAAATCCTGTAGGATTATGACTCTAGATATCATATCTTAATTCTTGCTTTGCTGTTAGATAATGGACAATAAATCGATTGCTCGAAGATTTGTTGCCAAATATCCAATGTTTCTTAAAGTCAATGCTTCTCAACTTGAGTTATCACATCAAAATTCTGGTTGTCATTCTAAATTATCAACATCACATTCTCACAATCGCTAACAACAAATCTCTAATACAATATAGGCTGAATATAGCTTCTATAAGCTTTTCATCCCCATACCCAGCCCCAATTGCGCGGAAGAATTCTGAACGTACTGAAATCATCTTCGTACGTCCATAATTGCACTACATATGAGCTTTCAACATCCACATGCGCGCTTTTCTTGTGTGGATTACAAAATGACTTTACTCAAATTGGTAGGCATCTACCTCTCAGGCTTTTCCTTTTTTTATACTCAATCTTGCATTCCCGCTTTGCTGATGTCCTCTTTTTACTCTGTTACTACTCCCCTGCTACAGACTCCACACCATGACGTATCAAACACATGAAAACTTTGTACAAAGATTACGAATTCTCTTGAATACCCGCGATTCCCCTTATATACAATGACGCCCCGCCCCATATTCATGATCAACAGCACACAAACAACCTCCATCAGAATCGAGAACAAGTCTCAGAGTACTCCACATCAGACCAAAAACTCCCACTCCCTCTCATCCTTATCCACTTGTACTAGTATATAAAAAGTCAACACCTTTTCCAAATATCTTTCTCTTCGTGAACCATATCGTGTATATACAGCAGTGAATACCTATATCTATGAACCATGCGTATCACGTAATCATCGCTGCATATTTCCTCAATACATAAAATATAGCTTGAGGGGTTATAAGAGCAGCCAGAGGTACATCGAAGGAAGTAAATTGCAGAAAGGAGGATATCCGACTAAATTTGAATACACAACATCATAATCCCTACCTGACCCAAGCTCTGCGCTATTATTGTGATTTCGGTAGTGAAGATGGGTTCTGACGCTGATGGAAAAGATATTTTTGTGTGTTTCATATGTTCTTTCGTATGGTTGGGTTGGGATAGTTGTTCAAGTGAATAGTTTGTAGATGAAGTTGCAGCCTGTGGCTACAAATATGGACAGTGTGTATATACATGAGAGGACAATGAATTAGACGATAGTACTATAGCGCACAGAAAGTATAGACAATAAGAGACTGGTTTTATAAAGTGAAATTTTAAGGATATGTTTATACTACCTGTAAAATTGAGATTATTGTTGATGATAAGTAGACTGTTGTCATCTTTAGCGGATGATAAATTTGTAACTTAAAACTATCAGCCCAGCGTATCTTCATCCCGCAAGTAAGACTTCTTCCATTTCTACCTCCGAGTCGTCATTCATCGCATAATATTCCCAAAACAATTGTGTTTTAAGGGGCTATATGATCTTCAAACAGAACCATTTAATTGTTTTATATAATTCAGCTCCCCCTTTCCCCTTGTCTTCTGGCTAATGTTCGGCACTAGTGTGACTTGCCGGTGCGAAACGTTGAGGACAAACGGGGTTGAGAGCTAGTGGAAATTGAGGGACCTCGTACTTTCCACGCTGCATCTCACTGATATCGATATAAGAGTCAAGACTAGGAAGCGGAGGGAGGGGGGGATAAACGTTGATTTACTCCACTGATTTAAACTATTCACTTTTCTGTGTATATTATTTTCCGGTAAAGGAAGAAGTCACGTCACGCAGCTACGCGGTGGAGCAAAAGAGAGGAAAGTCAATGGTATCTCAGATTATTTCAGTCTTTCAAAGATGTCTCATTCTATATTGTCTCCAGTCCTAATACTCATACAAGCAATCGTATTCTAATTGAAAGTCTTTAAATCCTTAGATATTCTCAAGCAACGTTAATGCCAGATGTGACAAATGTTGCCAGAGTTTCAGTTGCAACAAAGCTATAAGGAGATATGATGCTGTGAAAGTTCAAAGCAAATCGCTAATTTGAATTTTCTATCATTTCAATGGCTTAACCCGCTGCGGCGGGCTGCTCTCAACCTCATATATGAAGTACGACACACGTTGTGGTTGATTCTTTAGACCATGACTTATTATGTGAATGCATCATATGCCATGTTTCAAACAAAACTATCTAGCCATAAAAGTCTCATCGCCGTTGACAATGCTGCGCAGTTTGAAGAACCTTGCTCTTCTTCTTAACCGAAGATTCGTTTTTCTCTCTGATACATAATAGCTTACCATGCTATTGCTACCCTGCCGAAGTGTTTTACAAAGATTTCGAATAACGGAAACGGAATTAAGTATAGGAAGATCGAGATGGTTCCAGATATCGACAATATCGAACTATTACGCACCATAGACCATGGGCCTCATGAACGAGACGAAACTCGATGAATGGCTTTCCTCCTTACTGGGGATGCAACGCTCTGATGAGTTTCAACAAAAGACACACCGGTATTGATTCCAGGTTTTGCGAAGTAAAGGGGAGTTGAGAGACAACATCCGCCGCTGAGTAATCTCAAAAAGAGAGTATGGGTGCTAGTCCATGTCTGTCTAGTACAAGAAAAAGCATGCCTGACTTCAGGTGATAATTCCTGCAACTCCCAATCAACATGTTGAAATGATCGATAAACTCTCGCGTGGCCAACGAAAAGGTCTTCAAATGATGATAGCAGCACCGGGAATCTTGGATGCTCTTTACATACTGCTTTTTCCCATGTAATCTGGTTGTAGGTACGGTGTAGGCTTCGGTTGGCTCGATCCACAGTAGTAATAGTAGCTGAGATGGCCACAAAGTTAAGGAACACATTTAGTAAACCTCGATTGGCGCCTTGAGATTATATTGCGAAAATCATTTCGACTTGTTATTTTTGCCGAAGAAAATCACCAATGTGGCCCAATCATACGATTCATATAGTATGTGTATGCAAGACGAGTGGTTGTCTCACATTTAACCCCTTCACCGCTACACCGCAAAAAAGATTGCGACGGCGAGTGAGTTGTAAACCATTCCAATAATACCATTGACACTGATCTAATACACGTATAGGCCAACATTGTTTTGCAAGACCGCAATACCGAAAGCTTTTCCAAACTTAATAGAACATGGCATCAATCTCGCTCCAGCCTTGCCGCGATAAATCGTCCTCAACTCCAGCATTCAGCCCTCGTCAAATGTCTTGCCCAAACCCCCTCCGATTTCCTATGGAGATAAGACAAATGATTTATATGGAACTCCTCGTTGCCTCAGAGCCCGTCTCATTTGCGACAGACCCTATTCCAAATGAAATTCAGGATCTCTTAAATAGAGGTCTACCACTGCCAGATATACCACAGCAACTCCACCTTTACGGGACCTACGGTCTCTGTCCTGCACTTCTACAAGCCAACAAGCAAGTACACGACGAGGCTCATCTGCTCTTATACACCGGGAATCGCTTTGATTTCACCAACAATGATTTCAAACCCTCCTTGCCCACAAACCACGCAGTTCTTTCCCTATTTCTCGACGGAATCGGGGATCATAATGCAGGCCTTCTTCGCTACATCCATATCGACTTTCCTTCTTTGGAGCACTCATACAGGCTAATGGGGCACAAATACATGCCAGTGTATGATTTACCCAGCCCTTGGATGATCAGATACGAATGTATTGAGCTTATCAAACAAATAAGAGAGAGATGCACACAAGTTACAGTGGTCAAGATGTTAGTTCAGAATTATCATGAATGCGGAGACATAGCTACTTCATCTGAGAGATCACACGCTGCAGAAAATATCTTGAATTGGACAAACGAGCAACTTCAAGCTGTTCCGCAACTCAAGAAGATCATTGTAGATTTTCGCACATGGGAGGTCAGATCAGAAACTGAGGTTCAAAAGAAAAAGTTGAGCGACTATGGATGGAAAGTCCAGATGACAGAGCTTAAGAAATCTTGGAATAACGACAATAATGTTTATGGCAGCTGGTTCGATGAGAGGAAATATTTTGATCATTCGAGCCAGTTATGGAAGGGAAGATTTTATTATCAGAAACGTCTGGCTGGCAAGTTTCTCTTTTCATGCTTTTATGCCGAGGGGTGAGAATGTTCTTGAGGCTGGATTGAACAAGTTTCCACAAAATCAAGTGCAGGCCGTTGAATGTTCATCGAAAAGATTTCATTATCACACAAACATTTTCAATTACTTTAGTCTTTGTTTCATGAAGTTATGTCAGAAGCTTTCTTTTTATTTGAATTATATCAGGTGTTTCTATCCCTCCCGCACTCCTTTCCTCTATGCAATGGTTTTCCACCCTCTGGGATTGTCTTTTAAGTACTCCCAAGTTTGCCCACTTAGCGGTTATCAATAAAGTTAAAATCAATATATTCTGCCCCATCGTGAGAATATCATGGATGTAATGCTATTCTTCGTCAAAATGACTGGATAATTTCAACTCTACACTATCACCAATGCGAGCTTCAATCTTCATATTCTTCACAATCCTGGAATGGAGCTTCGTTTCCCATCACGGAGTCACAACGGTGGATTCATAGATCTATCATTTGTTTTACCTCATCTTCAACCATTAATCATTTGCCCATCCTTATCTCAACAGTAGCTTGACTTCAAACATAAGTATCTTGAGGAACTTAGTTGCCTCAACATTATGTACTGGACTCAACTTGGGAAGACGCAGAGTTACGCAGCCGGAGGTAAAGTCACTTATCTCTACATAATCCATGCAAGACCACCGGCTACTAGTGACCGACTTGAAAGTATGATATTTACACAACAATCATATTCACTCATCCCATAGTTCACCCTCAACAATAACCTTCTACTGTTTACATGGCAGTCTTCCCACCTGACTTCTTAAGTTCGATTATGGATTTCTCATACACCTATATAACCCACTAATCCAACCGTATCCGAGTAGCCTACATGCCTTACCTGGAGTCCACATTATCCCGACTCGAAGGTCTGGATAGTCATAGGAATTTTGAGGGATATTGCCATGCATTCTAGCGCCTGGTATTACCTCACTGATAGCATAGAGAAGGGTTTTTCGTAATCAGTGGCGGCATAATGATTATTTGACAACAATACATTTTCTGATTTTGACAACTAAAACCAAACCAGTTTCCAGCAAAAGTTCTCCATCAAACAATCTATACAAATAATCTCCTATAGTAGCGGAAATATCTAATCAACCATGTCTCCTGTCTTTATCTTTTCTTGCAACTTTCATCTCCTGAACTTCCGAGGAATCTGAACTATTCATCCTCAGCAAGAATATGTTTAAAAACCTCGAATTGAGAAACTAGACAGAGCGCTAAGAAGTAATTCTAGTTGCGGATGATGTTGTAGAATCTTAAGATGGACCTAATCAATATTACACATCCTTAATATTTCTATTCTCCACAGGCAGGCGAGGTTTTGATCTCTGAGACGTATTTATAAGTATTAGTTTCGTGGGAGTGTAACGATTAAAATCAACGCTGGACGTTATAAAGACGTGCGAGAGGTAGGCTGCGCAACGGGTACCCGCGGGGCGGATTATTGGCCTGGCGGGTCCCCCGTGGGTCCTCCGTTTGCGGGGCGGATAATAGAAAAATCTGAATGGGGACCCGTTGGGTATCCGCTGCAAATACTCCGCAAATACTCCGCAGATATAAATTTTATAA